TGAGTGTGTCTCTCTCTGTGTCTGTGAGTGTGTCTCTCTGTGTCTGTGAGTGTGTGTCTCTCTGTGTCTGTGAGTGTGTCTCTCTGTGTCTGTGAGTGTGTGTCTCTCTGTGTCTGTGAGTGTGTGTCTCTCTGTGTCTGTGAGTGTGTCTCTCTGTGTCTGTGAGTGTGTGTCTCTCTGTGGCTGTGAGTGTGTGTCTCTCTCTGTGAGTGTGTGTCTCTCTGTGAGTGTGTGTCTCTCTCTGTGTCTGTGAGTGCGTGTCTCTCTGTGTCTATGAGTGTGTCTCTATCTGTATCTGTGAGTGTGTGTCTCTCTGTGTCTGTGAGTGTGTGTCTCTCTCTATGAGTGTGTGTCTCTGTGTCTGTGAATGTGTGTCTGTCTGTGAGTATGTGTCTCTCTATGAGTGTGTGTCTCTCTGTGTCTGTGAGTGTGTGTCACTCTGTGTCTGTGAGTGTGTGTATCTCTCTGTGGGTGTGTGTCTCTCTCTGTGTCTGTGAGTGTGTCTCTCTCCGTGAGTGTGTTCTCTCTGTTCTGTGAGTGTGTATCTCTCTCTGTGAGTGTGTATCTCTCTCTGTGAGTGTGTGTCTCCCTGTCTGTGAGTGTGTGTCTCTCTCTGTGTCTGTGAGTGTGTCTCTCTCTGTGAGTGTGTGTCTCTCTCTGTGTCTGTGAGTGTGTATCTCTCTCTGTGAGTGTGTGTCTCCCTGTCTGTGAGTGTGTGTCTCTCTCTGTGTCTGTGAGTGTGTATCTCTCTCTGTGAGTGTGTGTCTGTCTCCCTGTCTGTGAGTGTGTGTCTCTCTCTGTGTCTGTGAGTGTGTGTCTCTCTGTGAGTGTGTGTCTCTCTCTGTCTGTGAGTGTGTGTCTCTCTCTGTGAGTGTGTGTCTCTCTCTGTGTCTGTGAGTGTGTATCTCTCTCTGTGAGTGTGTGTCTCTCTGTGTCTGTGAGTGTGTGTCTCTCTGTGTGTCTGTGAGTGTGTATCTCTCTCTGTGAGTGTGTATCTCTCTCTGTGAGTGTGTGTCTCTCTGTGTCTGTGAGTGTGTGTCTCTCTGTGTCTGTGAGTGTGTGTCTCTCTGTGTCTGTGAGTGTGTGTCTCTCTTTGTCTGTGAGTGTGTATCTCTCTCTGAGTGTGTGTGTGTGTCTCTGTGTCTGTGAGTGTGTGTGTCTCTCTCTGTGTCTGTCTGTGGTGGTGGGCCCTGAAAGGCAGAAGGTGGTGACTTACAGCCCCTCAGTCAGGACACAGGGAGTCAAAGGTAGTGTGGGGTAGAAACGGACCATTCGGCCCTTTGGTCCTACGCTAGTGTTTCCTAGCAAGAACTCCTAAAGAATGCTTTCTTTAACAAAAACGGGCCACACATTTTTTGTTAAATAAAGCATTAATTTTTTTGCAACAATCTAATGTGCATTATTTCTTCATGTTTAGCCTTAATCAATAAAATGAAAACATGTAGTAAAATATACCTCTGAACAGCACCAATAAACTCCCCGCAATTTCCTGCAAAATTTGTCAAATTTGGGGTAAAAATTTCCACAATTTTCTATTAGCCCTGATACTGAAGCAGATCTTGACTATTCCTTCACTCTCACCTTCGGGTCAGAATATTGGAGGCTTAAGCTCCACATTGCTAGCCGCCTGACACAACACTCACTACATTGGACAATAAATTAGTGTGAACTGCTTTTGATGCATTTTAGATAAGCGCAATGTTTCTGCTTTAATTGCTAATTATATCTGTCTCCTCCATGCCTTGGAGATTAATTTGCTGACCATGATTCCTATCCCTCCTCGATGTAGGCACTGTGAAGTGGAAAGTACTGTGGGAACGTCCCCCTTGCTCTGTTTGCCACTGTGGGGTCTGATCATGTGGGCACTACCCCTTTAAGTTTAAAATACCCAATAAATGTAACCCACCACTGCCCCTTTAAGAGTGAATCAAACACTTCGCTCAACTCTGACCGAGTGAACAGAATGAACCGTCTTCATGTTCTGCAGACGGTTTTGCACCTCAATGTTTCAATATCTGTATCATTCACACCGCGGTTCTTAGATGAACCATTTGTGTGTGGAACGATGATGTGACTCATTCCTATCTGACAAATCAAAGGCACCGGCTTTCTCTGGTACCTTGTGAAAGTGTGACGCTAGTTAATGGGTTTCACAAGGCTGTTTGACTAAGCGGAACCAACTTAGCTCAATCCTGTTTACCCGACATAGGTGTCAGCCTGGTTCAGTTGGTTGTACTCTCGCCCACGGGTCAGAAAGTTATGGGTTCAAACCCCACATCGGGGCTGACAGTCCAATGCAGTGCTGGTGGAGTGCTGCATTGTCAGAGATGCCAACTTTCGGGTGGACGTTAAATGGTTTCCTCCGTCTGCCTGGACATTAAAGATCCTATGTCACTACTCAAAAAGAGAAGAGAGTTTCTCTCTCCCAGATAAAATTGGTCACTCACTCCATGGCTGCTTGTGGGACATTCGTCATTAGTCACTACACTTTACAGTAAAATCCTGTGAAGCGCTTTGAAGTGCCCTCCTGATGTGAAAGGCGCTGTATCAAATGTAATGATTATTATTATTATTTAAAATGTATTTGAATTAATAAATAAATATTAAAGAGTAAAGAGTGGGCGAATGTGAGCAGAGCAGATATCTCCAATGGGGGGAGTTAGCACCAACACTGACGTATTGTCATTATGGCTTCCTTGGGTGTTGAAAGCTTTCTGCAATTCCTTACACTAAGAGTCACCATGAACGGTATTTTGCACCCACAAACACTATACATACACACTACACACACATACAACACTACACACTACACAAACGCTACACACACACACTGCACACTGCACACACACACTATACACAGACACACTGCACACCCACACACTACACACGCCAACCCCCACCCCGCAGCCCCCACGCCCCCCAAAAATGATCAATGTTTTATTGATGATGAATGACTCCATTTTAATGTTTTACAGAAGAAAAAGGATGTTTGGGGCAGTCACTAAAATAACAAAACCAGACTTGAGTTACCTGGCAGTAACCCAGCCCCAAACCAACTCCAGACCAGAGAACTTAACTAATAGTTGAGACCTTCCCATTTATGTGTGTAAAGTAAAGTGAACTTTGTAACAGTTTAGCAGAAGGAGATGATTCATCTACTTTCATATTCTAGATAGAAACAATTACTTTTGTTTTACTTTGCTCAGATCATCCAATGTTGGAGCCTTTTTATATTCCTACTCGCCAAATATCATGAGGACCCAGATGTTCCAGGATTGACTATAGAATGTAATGGTTAGCCTAAGGGAAGATTCCTTATGGCACACGCCTCTGTTTACCTGGATGTAAGTTGAAACCCGGTTGTTGGTTGACAGGCGGATCGTTTTCTCTGGGGATAATAATCCCTTCAAAAAAAATGTGGTCACTACTGTGAGTGTGCAATTGGCTGTCATGTTTTCGTCCACAAAATACACAGCGAATCCACTTTACAATACTATATATTCTGTGAAGCGCTTTCAGATGTCTTTGAGACACGATAAGGCACTATATCAAATACAAGGATTATTATTATTATTACATGTGCCAGGATTGAGAAAGAAGAGCAATGGGACTCTCTTCACGCAGAATTTCAGAAAGCCTACGGCTGCGAAAAATTGTTGAATTAACAATAATAATAATCCTTGCATTTTATATAGCGTCTTATCACGCAGTTGAGTGTCCCAAAAATTTTTTTAGAAGGGATTAATTGTGGGCCATTGCTTTACGCAATTGGTCTCAAAGCGCTTCAGAGAATATATTGTGAAGTGGACTGACTATATTTTGTGGGCAAAAGGTGGCAACCAATTATGCACAGCTGAGTCCCACGATCAGTTGTGGATTGAGTGACCAAAATTCTTTTTAGAGAGGTGTTATTACCCCTGGAAAGCGATCTGCCAATCAACTAACAACTTGGTTCCTACTTACTGGAAGTAGGTTGTCTTGGGTTTTATCCCACCCGTGGGTTCATAAACATCTGTGTGTATGTGTATATGTGTGTATATGTGTGTGTGTGTGTGTGTATATGTGTGTATATGTGTGTATGTGTGTATATGTGTATGTGTGTGTGTATATATGTGTATGTGTGTATATGTGTATGTGTGTGTGTATATGTGTATGTGTGTGTATATATGTATGTGTGTATATGTGTATGTGTGTGTGTATGTGTGTGTGTGTATATATGTGTATGTGTGTGTGTATATGTGTGTGTGTGTGTGTTGTGTATATATGTGTGTGTGTGTGTGCCAGAGCTCTGGGATGCTACCCAGCATGAAGGGCACTATATAAATCCAAAAAGTTGTTGTTGTTGTTGTAGCTGTGTCTCTGTGTAACTTGCTCAGAAGTCTCAGTGGTTGGAGAGAGGCTCCTGGTGTCGGGGCTGCTCACAGGGAGGTTCAAATGAACAAATTAACCTCAGGAATGCTATTCACTGGGGGCGGAGCAGAAGCTCACACACACACCCTGTGTGCATGTATGTGTGTGTGTGTGTGTGACACTGCTCTCTCTGGGGTTGGTGTGTGTGTGTGTGTAACATTGCTCTCTCTGGGGTGTGTGTGTGTAACATTGCTCTCTCTGGGGTTGGTGTGTGTGTGTGTGTGACACTGCTCTCTCTGGGGTTGGTGTGTGTGTGTGTGTGTGTAACATTGCTCTCTCTGGGGTTGGTGTGTGTGTGACACTGCTCTCTCTGGGGTTGGTGTGTGTGTGTGACACTGCTCTCTCTGGGGTTGGTGTGTGTGTGTGTGTAACACTGCTCTCTCTGGGGTTGGTGTGTGTGTGACACTGCTCTCTCTGGGGTTGGTGTGTGTGTGTGCTCTCTCTGGGGTTGGTGTGTGTGTGTGACACTGCTCTCTCTGGGGTTGGTGTGTGTGTGACACTGCTCTCTCTGGGGTTGGTGTGTGTGTGTGTGTGTGACACTGCTCTCTCTGGGGTTGGTGTGTGTGTGTGTGTGACACTGCTCTCTCTGGGGTTGGTGTGTGTGTGTGTGTGTGTGTGTGTGTGTGACACTGCTCTCTCTGGGGTTGGTTTACAGTCTCAGGGATTTTTACGCCATGTGGAAAGTCACTATGGAGCCGCTCTCTCTCTCTCCCTCTCTCTCTGGGGCGGAGTGAGATGAGGAGAGGGATCGATTCCCGAGAGGCGATGTGATCCCTCAGTGAGGGGTGAGAGCGGCGATATCAGGTACAGCGGAATGTCTTTTTACACACGAGCTCTTTTGAATGACTTTAAAGCCGTCTGACATCCCCCACCGCCACCTCACCCGAGACCTTCCCCTCTCTCTCCCTCCCTCCCTCTCTCTCTCCCCCTTCCTCTCTCCCTCCCTCCCTCTCTCTCTCCCCCTTCCTCTCTCCCTCCCTCTCTCTCCCCCCCCCCCTCTCTCTCCCCTCCCCCTCTCTCTCTCCCCTCCCTCCCTCTCTCTCCCCCTCCCTCTCCGTCCCCCCCTCTCTCTCTCTCCCTCCCCCTCTCCCCCTCCCTCCCCCTCCCCTCCCCTCTCCCCCTCTCCCCCTCCCTCCCTCCCTCCCTCTCCCCCTCCCTCCCCCCTCCCTCTCTCCCTCCCCCCCTCCCTCTCTCTCTCCCCCTCCCTCCCTCCCTCCCCCTCCCTCCCTCTCCCCCCCTCCCTCCTCCCTCCCTCCCCCCTCTCTCCCTCCCCCTCCCTCTCCCTCCCCTCTCCCCTCCCTCCCTCTCCCCCTCTCCTCCCTCTCTCTCTCCCCCTCCCTCCCCCCCCTCTCCCCCTCCCTCTCTCTCCCCCTCCTCTCTCTCCCTCCCCCTCCCTCCCTCTCCCACTCCCTCCCCCACTCTCTCTCTCGGAGATGTTTTTGTTGCTATTTTCGCTTCGGTTTTGGGAGTTCTCAAAGTCACTTTCTATGGGATACACTGTATCGCGGACACCGCACTCGATACACTGTATCGCCGCTCCGCGCGGCGCCGACACTGTGTCTCGCGATTGGGTACAATGTATCGAATATAAAAAAGTTACTGTAACACCGTCTGAACGGAGGAGAGAGAGAGGACTCCAACAGCTGTTTACCCACTGCCGTCCCGACTGGTGTTCTGTCCAGTTTTGCTGCACAGAGTGGTGAGAGGGGGAGGGAGGGGGTCAGGGGGGTGAGGAGGGGAGGGGATGGGGTGAGGAGGGGAGGGGGGGTAGGGGGTCAGAGGGGGTGAGGGGGAGAGGAGGGGAGGGGAGGGGGGAGGAGGGGAGGGGGGGAGGAGGGGGAGGGGGTGAGGAGGGGAGGGGGGAGGAGGGGAGGGGGGAGGGGGAGGGGGAGGGGCGAGGGGAGGGGGTGAGGAGGGTGTGAGGGGGGAGGGGTCAGAGGGGGTGAGGAGGGGAGGGGGTGAGGGGGTGTGAGGGGAGAGGGGGAGGGGAAGGGGTGAGGAGGGGTGTGAGGGGAGGGGGTGAGGAGGGGTGTGAGGGGAGGGGGTGAGGGGGGAGGTGAGGGGGAGTGGGGAGGGGTGAGATCTCTTCGCTGTGTTTTTTTGACCCCCCTCTCCCCCCCACCACTGAGCCCCACTGTAGTGTCCACACGCGGCCATTAGCACTCGGATCACTTGGGGAAAGCGGAAAAAAAGGATTTGATGTATTTATAGTCTCTGAAGCGCTTTTTGTTCAGACGTCCTCCTGATGTGTGAGAGTGTGAGTGTGACTGTGAGTGTGAGTGAGTGGAGTGAGAGGTGTGTGTGTGAGAGTGTGTGTGTATGAGTGAGTGTGTGTGTGTGTGTGAGAGTGTGTGTGTGTGTAAGTGAGTGTGTGTGAGTGTGAGAGTGAGTGTGTGTGTGAGAGTGTGTGTGAGAGTGTGTGTGTGTGAGTGTGAGTATGAGAGTGTGAGTGAGTGTGTGAGAGTGAGTGTATGTGAGTGTGAGATTATGAGTGAGTGCGAGTGTGTGAGTGAGTGTGAGAGTGTGGGTGAGTGTGTGTGAGTGTGTGTGTGAGTATGTGTGTGAGAGAGTGTGTGTGAGTGTGAGTGAGTGTGAGTGTGTGTGAGTGAGTGTGAGGGTGTGTGTGAGAGTGTGTGTGTGAGAGTATGTGTGTGAGTGTGAGTGGAGTGAGTGTGTGTGAGTGAGTGTGAGTGTGTGTGTGAGAGTGAGTGTGTGTGTGTGTGAGAGTGAGTGTGTGTGTGAGAGTGTGTGTGAGAGTGTGTGTGTGTGTGAGTGTGAGTATAATAATAATCCTTGCATTTGATATAGTGCTTTTCACGTCGGGAGGACGTCCCAAAGCGCTTCACAGAACATACTGTAAAGTGAATTGACTGTATATTTGTGGGCGAACGCGGCAGCCGATTGCGCACAGCAATGTCCCACAAACAGTCGTAGATTGAAAATGACCAATTTATTATTGTTTTTGGTTTTGGAGGGATTATTATTAGGCTCTGTGTGGAGTAAGGAAACTTGCCCAAGGTTTCGCCCTCTGCCTGGAATTGAACTCAGGTCTCTCACTTGCAAAGCGAGTGCTCTAACCACTGAGCCACAGGACTCCACACGTGAGAGTGTGAGTGAGTGTGAGAGTGTGAGTGAGTGAGAGTGTGAGTGAGTGTGAGTGTGAGCCCGGCTCACCGTTGGCTCACAGTTGGTACTGTAGAGCTCTCAATGGCTTCTGAAGGTTTGTGAGTTCAAGTCCCCACTTGGAATCATGTTGGTGCAGTCCTGCAGCTCAGTGGTTAGAGCGCTCGCCTCGCAGGCGAGAGTCCCGGGTTTGATTCCCGGACAGAGCGAAACGTTGGGCAAGTTTCCTTACTCCACACGCCTCTGTTTACCTCACAGTGAGAAGTAACACGGTTGTTAGTTGATTGGCCGATCGCTTTTCCGTGGGTAATAATCTCTTTAATAAATATAATAATAATGTGGTCACTCAATCCAGGACTGTTTGTGGGACACTGCTGTGTGCAATTGGCCGCTGTGTTTCGCCCACAAAATATACAGTCAATTCACCCCACACAATATTCTGTGAAACACTTTGAGATGTCTCAAAGACGTGATAAGGCGCTATGTCAAATGCAAAGATTATTATTATATATAGTCAAAGCTGACACTCTAGTGTAGCACGTGGGGGGGGGTGTTGGGGGGTGTATTGGTGGAGGTGACGTCCTTCGGATGGGGAGTTAAACCGAAGTTCAGTCTGCCTGTTCCCCCATCCCAACCCATATCCATCTTATTTATCTTTGATCAGCCCTGTGGGTGTCTGACACGTGGGGAACCCAAACACTGTGCTAAAGAGTATCCAAACCAGACTGAGAGCTCCACATTGGTACGTTCTACACATCAACCATGTGAGTGTTCAACCATGCAGTCCGCCACGTTCCAGTAGTGATCAGGAACAGAAAGGAATCAGTCTGACTCAGTGTGGAATTTCTCCCGGTGTTCTGGCCAACAATCTCCCAGGTTAAAAATTAGTCACTCACTTCATGGCTGTTTGTAGAACGTTGTATATAAATTGGCAGCTGCGTTCACTTGCAAAATACCCAGGAGTTAAACTTTACAGTAAATCCTGTGAAGCGCTTTGAGATATTTCAAAGGTACAAGATCAAATGCATGGATTATTATTGATGTTTGCAACCCAGAGTGAGGGGTGGAGGGCGGTGTGGGGGGAGTTTAACCAGTTGGAACCCTAACCACTGCTCCTAGCTGGAGATCGGTTAATTCTGGCCAAGTGTTTACTACACACGGCCTTAACTCCGTCACAGGGCGAGCACAGGAATGAGGGTCTGTGTGGAACACATTGAGGAAGAGACCAGAGAAATGCCATCTGCCGTGATAACCGACTGATTCAGCACTGAATTCCATGCTGTCTAATCATTTCCTATTTCCACCCTCGAGATGGAATTCAGAGAGTATTTGTGGTTTTCACATTAATTACAAACACACAAAGCTACTGGTCTCAGTCAGGACCGCTACATTACATTACTACAGTCTCTGACTAGTAATGTATTGTGAAAATAGCCATCGACCAAATATAGCGTAAATCTTGCGTTGTTTATTCCTGGTGAGATCTGTGCTCAAGGTGAGGTAAGTTAGCACTGCGCACTGGAACATTTTGGTATGTTTCACACCCAAGGTCAGTATCCAGCAATCTTAGGTCATAGGTCAGGTGGATCTAAACGTACAGAGTGTGAAGGATCCAAGGTTTGAATCCTGGACTGTCCCAACTCTCCTCTGAGTCCCAGCTGCCTGTTTAGAAGGAGGCAAGCGAGGGGGAGGTGAAGGGGCTCTGGGATGGAGTTCCAGAGTGTGGGGGCAGAAAAGCTGAAGGCTGGACTGCTGATGGAGGAGCGGGCAGGGCAGGGGTGGAGCTGCTCAGTGCCTGCTGAGCGGAGGAAGTGGACGGGTTGGGATTGTGTTAATAAATCACAGAGTTGGGAGGAGCAAGAGTGCGGAGGGCTTTAAACGTAATATGATGTCAGGGTTGTACGGGGCGATTTCAAGACTGACATCAGGAAGTGATGTCCTTCTTCCTGCAGAGAGGAATTGGCAGCTGTAAGCGGTTACCATGAAGTTGTTGATGCTGTGACCGGATATTCTGGAAAGAAGAGATCAACTGGGATTTGGCCCTAAAATCAGAGCCACGACGGTTAGCACTGAGGTCAGAAGGCGCTTTCTCACACAGGGGCTTGTAAGGATGTGAAACAAACACTGTCCCAGAAAGCTCTGGAGGTGGAATTAATAAGGATGTTTGAGAGAGAGAGAGATAGAGATGGATAGATACGGGCAGTAGAGTTATCAAGGTATAATAATAATATTCCTTGCATTTGATATAACGCCTTATTACTTCTTCGAGACGTCTCAAAACGCTTCACAGGATATACTGTAAAGTGAATTGACTGTATATTTTGTAGACAAAACGCAGCAGCCAATTACGCACAGCAGTGTCCCACAAACAGTCGTGGCTTGAAGTGACCAAATGAATTATTATATGTATTTTTCGAAGGGATTATTACCCCCTGGAAAAGCGATCCGCCTATTGACTAACAACCGGGATCCGACTTACTGTTAGGTAAACAGAGGTGTGGAGTATGAATGTGGGATGTGACAATAGTTTGAAATATGACCCGACAATCCAAAGTGGTGTAACAAAATTTTATTGAACAATTAGTGAAATATAAGTATTTACAGAATCAAAGCATATTACCCGTTCCGATGACCATGGGCAACGACCATCTGACCTCTATCCTTGTCTTTCCTCTGGCTGC